TTCAGCATCAGGAAGACCCACATTTTTCTCTAGGGCGGCACCAGGAGAACACTAGCAGCGTAGAGGCCGATCTGAGCAGACAGATCATGAAGCAGGTGTCTCTTCTGCTGCCATCCTACAGTGTCCCTGATGCCGTGGTGCTTCTACCTGCGTTATGCCTCACTGCCCATGGTGAGTTCACTACAAGTCTTTCTGTTTTTGACCACGTCAGGGATTCTAAGTGTTGTTGTTTCTAACAGGTAAAGTTGACATGGAAGCACTCCTCAGAATATACCAAAGACGAAGACGGTGTTTGGAGTCTTCACATGGAGACATCAGCAATTTAAAGCACACATTGCAGTGTTTGTGGAAGGTATAAATACACACACACACACACACTCCATTGACCCAACCTTGTACTTCATACCTTGGTGTGTACACTTACTTTTACAACACTGTGATCCAATGTTAACAGAACATTTTAGGTCTGGATGAGGATGCAGCTTTGGCTGAGGAGTCCAACTTCTTGTTGAGTGGAGGGGATTCTCTGAAGGCACTGCACCTCTGTGAAGACATAAGCACCACCGTGGGAGTGGCCACACCGAAACTTCTGGAGGTCATTCTCGATGGAACCTTTGTTGACATCCTGCACTACATTGACAGTACAATGCTGATGCCACTGTTGGAGAACGACTCAAACTCACTTCGTGAGGCCCAGAAACGTCGAAGTGGTTCTCCATCTGATGTTCCAGCAAAGAAGGAACGCGGACAGTCTCCATGTGAAGATCTGCTGCAACAGGAAACACAGGCGTTTAAGGTCATCAGACGAGGAGCAGAGGTGATAGAAATGGACCCCAAGAAGGAAAGGTCAAACTTACAGGCTGCTGCAGATGTAGACAAATATTCCTGTAGGAAAGAGGAGAATGTTCTGGAACTATGTCTGAGTTGGTCCTCAGACACAGGGAGATGTGTGGACGCCTCCCCTATTATTCTGGTGCGTGAAAGAACCGAGCAGTCTTCAGTAGTTGCTGAAAGGACCGTGTTCATCGGGTCTCACTCCCATAGGTTCCAGGCATTAGATCTGGACACTGGGAGACTTCTGTGGGAACGAGTCCTTGGAGACAGAGTCGAATCATCGGCTGCTGTGTCTCACTGTGGGACTCTCGTGGTTGTAGGTAAGTTATTTGTAGGTAATTTTCTTTCTATTGTTTTAAGTGTGCTATAATATGTTGGTTTTTTGATGTGCCCCAGGCTGCTATGATGGCTGTGTGTACTTCTTGAGTACTAACTCTGGAAAGACGCAGTGGACATTCGAGACAGGAGACGCTGTGAAGAGCTGTCCTGCTGTCGATCCTCACACAGGTCTGGTCATAGTGGGATCGCACGACGGACACGTTTATGCCCTGAACCCAAAGGTTTGACATCATTTTTTTTTAAATCACGTTCCATTAGGATTTATAATTTGGTTAATAGTGTGAAATATTTTCCAAATTTCTCTTTTGGTTTTAACTCTATTTTTGATTGGACTGAAGTCTTGGGTTTTTCCTTTTAGCTGCAGCAGTGTGTTTGGAAGCATCACTGTGGAGGCAGAGCAGTCTTTTCTTCACCACACCTCCAGCCAGATCTCCGTCAGCTGTTTGTGGCATCACTGGGGGGTGAGCTCCTCTGTCTACACCCTGTGAGTAAAAGTCCCATAAATATTTTTTGTTAAATGACGGTTTAACACTCCCCCCCCCACCCCCCCCCAGACAGCTGGATCACTGTACTGTAGTAATATTTCAGTGTAGCAGCAGGAACTGAAACATTATGTCTACAGTTGCAGTAGCTTAATATAGAGCACCTTCACAGACTGTGACCTGTGGACAGAGACAAGTGGCAGAGTTGATTTGTGACAATAAAAGAGCAGCAAAGGTGAAAGGGAAGATGAACTAGGTTGGAGAGATGATGCGGCTGAGCTCTTCACCAGGAGTGGCTAGAATGGACGAGAGTAGAAATGATCAGATCATATTTCCACCGTTTGATGTTCTGTGCTTGATGCTGTCTGTCCATCTGATCTAGTTTGTTCTTCTGTCCCAGGACAGTGGAGACATTCTCTGGTCTAACAACAGAAACGTACCGTTCTTCTCTTCCCCAAACTGTGGCTCTGGCCTGGTTGTGCTTGGCTCTGTGGACGGAAACATCTGCTGCTACAGTAGTACTGGGAAACTGGTGAGAAGAAGAATCAGACTTGCAGTATAGATATATACCAAATGAGTTGATTATTAAAACTTCATTTAAAAAATGAATCATGTGTTTCTGCAGGTGTGGCAGTTCTTAACAAAGGGACCTGTTTTCTCATCTCCCTGTTTCACACCGGACCAGCAGAGGCTTCTGTGTGGGTCACACGACGGTCACTTGTACTGTTTAAGCTGCACTGATGGGTCTTTGGTTTGGAAGTTTCCCACTGCAGGGAAGGTGTACTCCACTCCGTTTGTCTTTGACGGCTCCTCCGTGGGCAGAAGAGGGGTCCTGGTGGCCCTGGCCTCTACAGATGGTACCGTCTGGATCCTGGACGGTGAAGATGGACGAATGCTGACATGTCACACACTCCCCGGAGAACTGTTCTCTTCTGCAGTGGTGTATGAACAGTCTGTGGTCGTAGGGTGCCGTAATGACGATGTGTATTGTTTGAGGCTGACTGTCAAAGAAAAAAGCTGAGAGAGATTAAATGTACACTTTTATATTAAACGTTTAAATAATACATGTCTTCTTCTGGGTGCTTCTTTTCAGAACAAGGACACACTTAATTCTCAGCCTGAACCTCACGCTCTCAAGCCCACAGTTGTTCTGCCATCTTTCTCTCATCTTACCCTCTGTCCAATGTATTCAGCAACTTTTAAAATGCACTTTCATAATGTACAAATGTACCGACTTTGGTTGAAAAGGAAGCAACAGAAAAAACAGACGTGTCCCTTCTCATCCAACAGACTTCTTCAGTTCAGTTGATTGCCAGAAAACCCTGGTGTTGAGTCCTGATGAAAACAACACAGATGCTGTCGTCAACAACTGAATACAGTACTACATACTACCATCAGAGTAATAATGAGGCCGTGAGATCTTGGTTCAGACATCAGTTTTTAATTTACATTATACATAACATTTTGTATTTCTTAAAGAATTTTCTCATGAATACCTCTAAGTGGGACAAAAAGTGCAAATAATACCAAACTTTTTTTTTTGTTACATTTAACACTGCGTACACTACACTATTGTGCACGGCCAAAGTTAGAAACAAAATGACAAAGTGACTCAGCAGTAGCGGCTTCTCACTGACTGAAGCTCAAGGTAAACGCCTTCAAATCCAACATACAGTACATACTTACATACATATACAGGTCAATATGTGAATGGCAGGAAATAAAAAATATGCTGCAGTTTTTTTTTCTTCCACGGATGACTGTTCACATCGTGTAAAGATCATATCACAGTTACGATGAAGTGATGGCAGGAGCCTACAAACTTGAGTGTCACAGGATGGCTACACAAACTGTATGTTACATCGAGCAGGAGTGGTGTCATCTGTCCATAAGCGAAGCAAACAAATCCAGGGTAATACATCATGACACAGCCTCGAGGAAAGTGTGTCGCTCACTGTAAATGCCCAGTAACACTTGTGGTGTCAGTGCTGTGGTTACGTTCACCCACTGTGTCATGTTGATTCTTTTCACTCTAACGGCAAAATCCAACAACGTTTTCTTTGACGGCTGTCACAGTAATCACGGACACAGTGAGAATTGTTACTCTACAGTTCCAGTATAATTAAAAAAGACGTGGTTATTTTGTACATGAAAGTCAGGCTCTGAGACGAGACACCAGCTGCTTTACGTTAAAGGAGATCTGGCTATTTTTAAGCACGAAACGCTGTTGTTGGAGGTGAGTGATTAACGTCGATAAAGAAGGAGTAGCTGTCTGACTTCAGGCCTATACTGAAAATGTTGTCACAAGTGCTGTGCAACATGAACCTGTTTGTGAAAGATCAGTTTGTACAGGCACCCACACACCTGGTTATTGTCAGCTGCAATTGTTAACAACAGCACCACACCTGACGTGACAGCCGTCGGAGGATCACGAGTAGTAGGGCGTGAGGCAGACACGGCAGCTGAAGGTGATAGAGTCTATCGCTGTGGTAGGAGGAAGCTACTGCAGATGCTGTGGAGTTGCTCCGGCTCTGCTGATGTTAGCCGATATTAGAATAATTATTTAATATCTGTAAGAATTGATGAATTATAGTTTTTTTGTCTAATAATGAAAACCTGTCTGCCATAAAAATAGTTTTGGGGATAAATGGCTGTATATTAAAATGAAGGTCACTAGCTGGCAGCATTGCAGCGCATTTAATGAATTTATTTTTAATAATCAGGGGATTGTATGCGGAATGTTGCAGCAACTCATACAGTGGTGTTTACAGATAAACAAATAAATACGACCAGGCCTATATCGTTATCGGTTGATATCGAGATAAAAAAAGTAAGTGTTTGGACAACATCAGCATATTGGATATCGGCAAAAAGCTAATATCGTACATCCCTAATACAGAGTAGTGTGAGTGCCACTACAAACACTAGTTTCATACAGCTCTTAAAAATACATGGTAATGGTGTGTTTTAAATCTGCCAATAGAAATTCACTTTGTTACATTGGAATGTTTGTAAATACAACAACGGAAACAACTTCATCTGTGCCAGTGGTTCCGAAACTAGGGGGCGTAGACCATCAATTAATACAAGTTCATTTAAATATTTGACATTTTGTGCCAAAAAATAATCGGTAAAACTGCACTGTTAATTTATTTTCTTCATTTAATGAGAATAGCAGCTTTTTTGTAGGAATGACAGTTTTAAAGAAAGTCCAGTGAAGTTTTGAACCAGTAGATGTGAATCTGTCAGAGTGGGTGTGGGGCTGATCTAAAAAGAGTTTGAGCTCATGTTCTTTACTGACAGTACCCCTCGAACACCAGCGCAAAGAGTTAAAAATTCGCTGTTTTTCCTTTAATGACACTAATGAGCTCCTCTAACCTTCCACCAGCTGGATACAAGCACGAGCACATGGAGTTCATTATTTTTACTGCTAGCCCTTTAAATGATCCAGACAGTTGCCTCCTTTAGATTAAACACTGTTGTACAGTATGTGGGAGCTGCAACTCTCGGGTAATGATGTTTGGAGTGAGTTCTTTTTTTTTTTTTTTCAACCATGGTGTCACAGTTGCTTCAAATATAAAAAAAATATTAAAATAAAAACAGTTGAAGTTGGCTATTGCAATGGCCAGCCATGGCTGTGATTGGCTGCATAGGACTCTCTGTCCTCTCTTTGTTAGTATAATATGTGCATGCTTGCAACAGCTGTTTAAATAATGTGTGCAGTTGTACTGGATTATTTGAATGTGAAGCGCACTTTATTTTATCTATAGAACCAGCCAGTGTGTGTGTGTGTGTGTGTGTGTGTGTGTGTGATGGGGGGGCGAGCGGACTTCTATTTGTTTCAGTCAGGAGT